AAATGTCTTCAACTTATTTTCGTTGTAATTTAGACTCTACCCTGATTAATATCGGGTATTACCTCCTCGGGTTTCAATTACAGTATTTAAGCGTCGTGGCATATTTTGGATGAGGTTGGCTATTACATCTTGATCCAGCTGTTCCCATTCTTCCCGAAGAGCACGTTGCAGTTTCAGAATTGTTTCTCGAACGTTTTCACGTCTCCTAATGCGTTTTCCCATTTCGTCCCAGACATGCTCTATGAGATTTAGATCTGGGCTACGTGCTGACCAATTCATCCTTGTGATATCAACCTCACCCAAATAATCTCTTATCACATTCACGATATGTAAACAGGAGTTGTCGTGCATAAAGATGAAGAAAGGGTGCGTATGGTACAATATATAGTCTACTAAACAGTCGGTAATGTATCTCAGAGCTGTTATTCTTCCTCTTGCCATAATTACTAAATCTGTTCGAGCTTCTAATGATATGCCTCCCCAGACCATAACACCTCTGCCTCCATAGGGTATTCTTTCGTTAAAGCAGCACTGTGCATAACGTTCATTAGGTCTTCTCCAAACCCGTTGTCGTCCATCTAGTGATCTTAAATTAAATTTGGACTGATCTGAGAAGTGAACCTTTTTCCACTGGTCGATTGTCCAATCAAGCTGCTCTCTTGCAAATTCTAATCTTTGCTGTGGATGCTATGCCAACAGTTTTGGACCCGTTGCTGGTTTTCGAGTTGATAAATTGTTTTCCCGCAGTCTTCTATAGACTGTTCTTGCAGAAACCATGCGAATTTCTTAATCGTTGTGCTATAATATTGGATATTAAAGGACGATCTCTCAAAACGCACAGGAGGATAAATCCATCTTTTCCTTCTGTTGTAGACCTCTTTCGGCCAGAACCTGGTCTCCTGTTGTAAGAACCACTCTCCTGAAATCGTCTTAATGAATCATGTGCAGTACTTTTTGCGAAATTTAAGGCATTAGCAATATAGCACATGCTACGACCATCATCATGAAGAGCTACTATTTTTACCATTTCTTCAGGCCTCATTTTACACAAGCATAAGTTACAACAGCAAATTAATTTGCGAAACGCATTAACAATAATGGCAGTAGCCATGGTAACCAGAAAAACAAAATCCACAACTATCTGGATACTAAACGAATAAGTTCAAAACTTAATACAATTTTCGGAATTAAACAAAAATTCGAAAAAATGATTTTGCAAGTTCCAAGAGAAAACAATTAAAGGAGGTTATAGAGAAATGTGCAGAAATTAGTATTGAGTTACTCAATAGCAATTTTAAAGTTTAATTTAAATGTTATTAGCGTTAAAATTACAAATATGAAGGTGTCCGAATTATTTTTTCCAGCAGTGTCTATCTTACGGTGCCTTTTTTATCGCTGATTATAGATATATTTATAAGACTAGAATTTTCTAAATCGATTTCAGTTAGCTTTGTCGTACAGAACCAAATAATTACCGAATTACAATGAAAAATAAATTCATTAAATTTACCACAAATTCACAGTAGTCACGTTGTGTCACTTGCTTATGGCCTCCTGGGAAAGCAATACGTGACGAATTTATATTAGTTCTTATTCCCTCTGGACAGCGTCGAAAAAATTGACAACGTCGCCTCGAAATTTCAAAGATAAAATATGTAGATTTGTGAAAGCTCAAAAAAGATCATTTATAATGTCTAAAAATATATAGAGGATTCTATTTAAAAAAACTAAGCGTGTTCTTGCTTCTCAAAAACAGAGCACTCGCACAGTTGAAGACAGTTTCAGTTTCAGCTGTTGAAGGAGTCGTAAAATTTTAGACCAAGACATTTTCCAATCTCTGTCTCTAATAATAATTAAAATCAATTAGATATTAAGCAGGGTGAGCTTATTGACTCACCTTGTATAATACAGTGCATTCCATTTTGTTTTATTTTGTCAACAGAGTTCAGGAAGAGTGATACAAAATTATTGAATTCAGTCGCAGGTTTTTGGATTTTTATTTCAAGTAATTTTTGACAAACTAGTTTTTACTAAGTTTTGAATTTTGACAAACAACTGCAAGGTTCTTTGGATTTAGCCTTGGGTTGAAATATGTTACAACATTTATGATGTGTTTAAAAAATTACTATTTCGTCCATTTACTATGTACCTACCTTTGTATTTTATAGTTAATGTTTTTTATTTGATTGTGCCGTTTACTGATCAGTACCGTTTATATGTGTATTTTCTCCTATAAAATCTTCCAGTTGTCTTAAATTATAAAATTTCTGTTTGAATGGTCTATTTTCTAAATACTTATCTGTTAAAAAATATATAATGATGTCGTAAGATCAGAGGAATTTAAAGTCATTTCTGGATTTATAAATAGATTGTCATAAAACTTTTGTATAATAGCGCAAAGTTGAACCTGCTACGTGTGCTGTTGCCCTATCCTGTATAATCTAGTCGAAGTTCTTCATCATTCAGTTGGTATGAGATACTTGCAAAAAATCGTTTGTCTGTTTATCTGTTACCTTGAAAAACGTAGGTTCATACTTGGAATGTAGACTGCGTCAAGAAAACTATGTATAAGTCTTCGGTATTTTGCATCTAAAATTTTGCGACTTACCATAACTAAAAAAATATAAACAACTTCATCACTAAAGAATATTAAATCTAATATTTTGTTACCAAGGAAGTTATCCAGTTACAATATTCAAAACGATGACATGTATGGATGCCTGTGTAGTCTGTTTTTTTACAATACACCAGTCGTTTTTAGAAATAATTTTGGCAGATGTTTGTGGATTCTGCATATTTCTACAAAATAGCATCGAGTAGATTCATTACGCATTCTGAATTGCTTCATTATAGTATTATAAAAAATCACAATAAATGTGTATTTTCGAATGAACAGACCATTACCTACTGCTAAGACACAACTAGCAAATAAATTGGAATATATTACTTTGAAAAATACAAATTAAGTACTCGTTAAATGAATGTTACTACACATGAGTTTAGCTTAATTTAACTATTTTTTTGCAATTTTAGAACAATGAAAACTAGTGATCAAAATCTTAAAGACAGAATGAAACAACCAACAATTAATCTTTATTACTAGATGAACATTATGGAAACGAATTTCCAAGTGTCAATTATTCTCAATGAAAAGTGTTCCCTCTTACTAAAAACTGGAAGTTTTGTACCATTTTTAAACCACTCACTATGTGTGTGAAACTTTTATGAAAGCTCCGTGTATTCAGTGCAATAAACAGTGTCTATTTTAACTCGATTGTGGGGAAAACCATTTAAATTAAAAATGTTAGGTATATCATCAAATCTAGCTGTAAACTCAGGTCGTATTCTGCTGTATAGTGTTTTAAAATATTTATTCTTAGTGTATAAAAAACTTCGGTGAAAATGATAAAAAAATTGTTAATTATGTAAGTATATTGTGTATGTATAGTAAACTATTGGTAGGTGTAATATTTTTTAATACAGATATAGACGGATTTTCTGTTTTTCCACACCAAAAGACATAAAATGGTTCATGTTTTAAAATGGAGTTTAGTAAAAGAAATTAAATAAATACATGATGAGTCGTACAAGAAAATATAAGTCGCTTCGGATCCAGTGGAATTAAAGGAATGCAGAAAAAGCCATAAATAGCAAATACCTATACACATAACTAGTGCTTTTTTTTCTGATGACGAAGGTCTCGCAGCTAAAATTTTTCAAATTTTATACACTGATTGTATATTAAAAAAAAGATCCATAACTAAATAATTTTAATTTCAGTCAAATGTAAAATAACTCATTTGTAGGAAAATAGTTAACAGTTAACGCACTTTCCGATGTTTCGGAGTCGAGGAAAATGGATTGCAAATAATTTAACAGATAACGGTACCTAGACGTGAAATAGTAATTTACACAACTAGTTCGGGATAGCCTGCTTCCCGCATGAACGCTTGTTTGCGGCACGACCGAAGGGAGTGCCGCATTTGCGTGAATGCGGGAAGCAGGCTCACGAACGTGTTGTGTACAATATTTTTTGCAACGAATAAACCTTTAAACTGAACAAATTAACTGTGAGTTATTTATAAACAATGGCGCCGTCAACACATCACAATGTTGACACTACGCGAGTATTTTAAGGTTACCATGGCAACGGGAAGTTAAAATGCACGTGTGCGGGAAGTTCGAACTCCCGCACCCTGGTGAATGCACGAAAGCCATCAAAAAAGATCATGAGTGCAAAAAAATAGTTAACATAGTAGCTTTCAAGCTTTTTCGAAATCAGAAGAAATCAATTATCCAATGCCGATGTATCTACAAAATAGATTTAATTAATTTAACTCAAAATAAGAGATTAATTTTAAACTGAACTGACTTTCGTCAACACCATAACACAACGAGCACAGAGGGCGGTCGAATCTGCGTTCATGGCAATTGCGTCATTGATTCGAATGAAGTTAAACTAAAAACACGATATGTTTAACATTTTGTAATCTCACACTAAATATGCCTATGTCTTGGCTTTTCTTTTGGTGCGTTGAGTTGTTCCACAACACCTCATTTTCTGATCTAAGTCAAAATGTTGCGTTGAATGCTGCAATTTTAGATGTCCAAAATTAATGTGGTTTAGGTTTAGGTAAATTATATTCGTATAGCATTAAAAAGGTTCAATAAAGTCGTGTCAATGTGCATCGGTTAGCATTTTGCTGGCGTGAAAATTGATTTATATCGCCATTTATTAGTCGTCATTACGACTAAAAAGTTGATAACACATTTTCAGATGAATCTAAGGATCTATTTTCCAGTTCCTAGTTTATTACGCGCTTACTAAAGAAAAAGTAAAACCGATTATGCATTACTAACGATACTTTAACTTACGTAAATAATAATAAACTTTTTGGAAATCACAAATGCGACGCAAGAGTTCTCTTCGATGTTGCCTATGACTCCTTCAATTAGCTTTCATGGATTCGATTTTGAGTGTGGTGATTTATCTGTTGCAGGTGATAGCATGATGACGTACTGCAACAACGGTGGCGGTAGCAACGGAAATGGTGGGACGGGTGGTTCGCCACCCCCACAAATACCGTGCTCGAGTGCGGCCACTCCGCCAGTGGCGGCGGGCACCTCCCCCAACGAACAAGAGGAGGACGTTTGGCGCGGCCACAGCATAGCAGCGCTGCGACGGAGAGCTTCCGAACTCAACGCCGCCATTCCCTCTTACCTGCAGATCAACTACGACACCCACAACAATGCTTCTGTATATTAGTTGCTTTCAGTTACACAAAGCACAAACGTTCTCAACAGCCGTACTATTCAAATCAATATATATACCAATTATTTTGGAATTCCTAATATTCGAGCGCCTATTTGCCAGAAATGTCAGGGTAACGCAGAGACTATTTTTTCTTCATCTGTTTATGCCTTTCTTTGGTTAAATGCCAGTTTATGGATACTGAATTACTTATAATTTGTTAAAATATTTTATAAAAAATAAGTGAATCAATTCAAGGGTGCTTCTTTTATGACATCATGTTTTTATTTATCCGGAACATTCGATTCTATAAATAACTTATTACAAAAAAAAAAAAAAAACTGTTAAATGCTGAGAAATTTTGCAAGCTTAATCGTTCATCCACCACAGCCAAAAAGACATTATGAGGTCTTGAAATCAATTAGAGAGGATAGGATGTCGATATATGTAATAATTTGATAATAAACAAAATTAGTATTTATCCGAATTATTGTACTTATATATATAAGTAGCAAAATAATGTTTGCCTATTTTAGATGGTGGAGATATACACATTTCGTTTATAATTGATTCAATTTTGAGCCTGCTCTTTTAAAATATGTTTTGGGGCACTTTGACAAAACTGGATTACAGAAGTCAGTTAAAATTATTTTTAATTATCGAAAGTGTTCAGTTTCAAATTTCACTAATCTGTCGTCACACATTTGTATTTTTCTTACACAAGAAAATATCAAATGATAGGTACGATTTTCGAACAAACCGGTTTAGACATTTATAAAAAAAAAATGTTATTCAAAAATTCAGTGTTCTCCCATTTTTAAAGACGAACGTGGATAACTTCGCGCAACATTTTTACTTCCCTTCTTTTACAAAAATAGAGGCAGTATCACAATATCAGATACTTATATAAAATAAAATGGTCAGAGAGTTGTTAAAATAATACTTACTCGGAAAAGTTAGGAGGAAAGTATTACCGTGATCACACAAAAAAATGTATATTTTAGTCAGAAGATTCTAAATCATTTCTTTGTCCAAGTTTGTTTACAGCTTGAATATAGCTCTGAGTTTCATAAAAATATCAAAAACATGGTCAATAGTTCACAGGAAAAAAGTACTTTAAGTACTATTTTAGAGCTATCATGTACAAGTTAGATACGAAGTTTTTTATTTATAACATTTATATTTATTATGCTTGGTATTAGGAAATCCTACAGTGGTTTCCTCCTTTACTTTGATTTTGGTAAGGATGTGCTCTTCAAGTGAAAGTTAACATGATTTATAAAGGTGTGTGAATTTCCCATGAAACTGGGCAAAATTGACTAGTCGACAAGGCGCAGATTAATTCGCTTGTTGAATTTTTTTGGCTGTTTGTATTTTATTAATTAATTTCTCATCTATCGCTTCAAAATGTTCATTAAATATACAGTTAAGATAGGTAATCAGCAATATTGTCCCCAAGCAATATTAATAAACTATATAAGCCAAAAAAATCTGGGTGTAAAACTAAATCAAAAGCACGGCTGCTTTAAATGTGTGGCTATATTAAAGTTTAAATTTCAAATAATTACATGGTTTTTTATTAGACCGCTTTAAATTTATAAATGCATTTGTTGGTAACTAATGAAGAATGCATTTATTTTTTAAATTTGTGATTGTGATTTAAAATAATTTTTGTGATATTTAACAAAGTAGTAATTATCTTGTGAACTTATATTAATACATTATTAAAATTTTTGTAATTCATAGTCGAAGAGTATGAATTAATAGGAGCATATTTCCACTTATTATTCTAAACAATATAATTTTTCTATTAGTTAAGTTATTTTTATCTTGAAGCAAATTTTTCTCCAGCTGTAACTCACGTCATTTTATGTTTCTTTGTAATAAAGTTTCAAAATACATATAAATATGTAAAACTTTCCATTCAACGTTAATTGACCAAAACTGCGAAACCACAGTTTATATCGATTACTTATGTGAAACGATAAGTTTCGTAAAATTTTTTACAAATAACAAAACAGAATCCATGAAATTAGTAAGTATTGTGTTCACATGAAATAGGATATAAATATGAATAAACATTTTGTGACACGTATTATTGTATTTACGAAGAAATTATACTTATGTAAACTATAAAATCAATCTCATAATTCATTTAAGAATTTACTCTTGCGATAAAAGTAATGATTTGATTAGTTGTAAATTTCAATTTAATGTAATTAAGATAATGAACATAAAATTAACTGTTGCAAATACTTATGCATAGTAAAAACGTTATAAATATTTCTGATAAAATTTTACCGTCATAAAACTAAATTTCTAAAAATCGATTTTTAGTCAGAATTTGTGGCGAGTATGAATTAAACTACTCAAAACTTTGGTTGTAAATGTTAGGACAATAAAAATTAAGATAGTTTGAAAAAATAGTTATTAAATTCAAAAGCGCAGTTTTTACGTAGGTAAATTAAACTGGCAAATAGGCGAGAGGATTTATGTAATTAGTTGTAAAGCAACTGAATTCCCACAAAAATGTTTTATCTTTAAATTTGATTTAATTGTAAATTATCTATAGGTGTAACCTACGAAAATTTGATATTACCATTAAACAATAAATACAACTAAACCGGGTCTAAAATGTATACGGTAATCTATAGATGCATAACAATAGAGAAGATAATTGTTAAACCGTACGTATACTCACTTGGAAAAAAAGAACAAATACTTCACGCAATAATATGATTCACATTTTAATTGTAAACTTAATAAATGACTGTAATTAAACGTGTAATTTCTTAAAATTTAGCTCCGGAAAAGTATACACTTGTTCTTGTTTTTATTGTATAGAAAGTATGTAGCAAAAAGAATTAGTCAACACTTTCCAGCGCTAAATCAAGTTTATTATTTGTAACTGTGGCGTCTATGTATACGATGTAAAATAATTATTGTACAAAGAAAAATCGTATGTTGAATGGATTCCATATTTAGTGTGATGTGCTGTTTAAAAAGATTTATGTCCTTAGAATAGAGGATACAAGATTTTCATAATTTTCTTGTTGTAAAGCAAACGGTATACGCGTTATTATTATTTTTTTATTATATTTTATTTCCTCTTTAACATAAATACCAGAAAAAATATGAAATTTCATTGTCTCAGAGAAATCCAGATATGGAAGTGACCATTTTTGTTATTATTTAATAATATTACTTTTTGCTTTCAAAACTAGTGTTAATAGTATTTTTAAAAAAATATTGTATGTATAATTATTGAGGGAATAAGTTATATTGTACTATTATTGTATGATTATGTGTACAATAAAAAATGTTTCATAAATGAATCATGTATAGTTTTTAATTTGACTTTTGCATAACCATTATCATCTTCTTGGGATAACTACTCCCTGATTTATTATATGATTTAACAATAATGAAGTACTAAGGTCTCTTTAATAAAAACAACAAGAGTGCCCTCTGTCTAATACAAAATAAACTAGAAATTCACTGGATTAGTTACTAAGTCAGTTTACAGATTACTGCAATTGCCATTTAGCGTTTAAGATGTGTTCGTTGCAAGAACGACGGGTAGAGGTCGCCACGCTCTGCAAACTTGGTATTTTACGTTCAAGAACCCATCAAGAACCGACCAATACTATCCGCGTTCATCTACAGCATTGTGGAAATCTTTCTTGACAAGGGATATAAAATTTTCATATTATTCCTACAACAGTTTCAGACTTGATCTTTTGAGTTGTTTTCGTAGACCTAAATCTTTCCAGAGTTTTTACTGTCTTTGTCGGTATAGTCGAATTTTCAGCATTTTTTGTCGTTCTACTTTATTATATGTAATATGATTGTCCCCTTACTGGCATTATTTTCTGTTGGGCAAATAAACTATATTACTATTTAACAATAGTAATAATAACTTATTACTTCTATTATATCCTAAAATGTACGTATTTTTTCCAAATGATCTGAAAGGTCAAGGACATACGCAAATAATTTAAATGTTTCTCGGGAGGTTGGTAGTACAGTTTTGTTGTCGTGTGGGTTTTTACATTTGTTTTAACATAAATAATAATTAACTGAATAAATTTTCCTCCCTATGATGCGACTGAAGACGTTTGTACACTACAAAACTAGACGTCGCTAAAGGTTCGATTTGAAATTAGACATGCAGCTTACAAGAAGTTCATATATTTTATTGTATTCACTGCCTTTTTCTAAGTAACAAATTTATTACTATGTTCATGGCCATACAACGCTTTCTATCCACGAAACATAACTGGAAACTTTTGTGTAAATGGCAGGTGCGTTAGCAAAGCCACAAAATTTCCCAAAAGAAGTAACTCCAGCGATACTATACATGCAATAAGGATCTTTCAAAACAGTCTGTAAGGGTCCTCCGGAATCTCCCTGACATGTGTCCTTTCCGCCACTTAACTTCCCTGCACATAGCATAGTATTCCGTATTGTTTCTTTAGCTGGTAGAATTTTTTCACACTTATCATTGGAATAAATCGTAAGTGTTACTTTCATTAAACTTTCGCTGCCCGATTCTGCTTCTGAAAAGAAATATATGTATATGGGGTGCTTTACTGAAGATTTATCCCCTACTTTGACTTTTGTATTTGTAAAGATGAACGATGAAATTCAAGGCGCTTTTAGATCAATCTTTACTTTTAAAGAAACTGGTCACGAATTTATTAAATGGGACTAAAATTATCTTGCCTATAAAAGCAATCAGCTAAAATTCTTGACAATTATTAACAAATTGAACTATTTTGGGTTAAAAAATACGGAGTGTGAGAAAAAATCGAATCAAAGTTTGTATTTTTACCATCCTTAAATGATAATAATAATAATAATGATAATAATATCTATCTATAGAGTTAAAGGAGGATGTAGTAAGCCCAACTATTTACACACTAGAATATAGCATTACTTGTTTTTTGTTTTCTAGAATTAATTCGAGTTACAACTAACCTATTATTCTTTAACAGTTTATAAAAGTGAAAATTGCAAACACAATATATCGTCTATACCAAAGAGGTAACTAATAATGTGTTAAAAACATGTGCAACAGATCCAACTGGTAACGATTTCATATATGATAATCTTGAGGAACCCTCACTAAAGAGGAATACTAACTTCGAGAAAGAATATCGAAAGCTTTAGAAAAATCAGCATATATAATATCGACCTGATGCTTATTGTCTAACCCGTCACACACAAACTGTATTATCGAAATTAAATTTGTTTCGGCAAAACGTTGCACAACTATTCATGGACATGATAGGCAATACTTACATAAAACACCTTCCAATACCTTTGCAAAATTGCAGAGAATTGCCGCAGGTCTATAATATTTACAATGTTGGTTTCATCACTTTTGTTATGAACCAGACAAATTCTAGATATTTCCCGTTGTGTAAGAAATACACTCTACTTTGTTATTAAATTAGCGTTAGCAGAATCTCTCACAACATGAGCCGGAACTTGATCTGGTCCATTAGCAATGTAGGTTATTATCTAGTTTTCTCAAAAATTAGTTCTAAAAAAAACTAAGTCCACTAGATAGGGTGTTGGAAAAAATGACAAAAAATATAAATAATTGCGCTTTTTATCTGATTCTGAAATTTTGTCTAATCATCCCCACCAAAAATGTGATGACGTCACTTCAAAATTGTACATAGTAAATGGGTTTATAAAATAACATAGTCCTACACATGCAGTTTATGACTCCGTGTTGAGTTTTTACCCAAACCGTTGAGATTTTTGGAAAAAAATCAAAATGATAAAACAACATTTTGCAAATAATTTTGAATCTGCAAAACCGAATGCTTTGAAATCTTGCAGATGTTTTAAAGTTTTAAGAGCCATGATAAATTTTTAATCAAAATATTTTTATTTATCCCCTCCAAAAAATTGATGACGTCAGCTCAAAATTTTGCCGAATCTAAAATGTAGAAAACATGATGAGTCCGTACTTGTGATTTATAATTCCATTCATATTTTTTGGATTTGCTTATATAGGATGACTCAAAAAAAATAATAAATCAGTCAAGTTATTTTATTGAATAAATCAAGAATTGCAAAATGAAATGCTTTGAAATCTGCACACGTTTTAAAGTCATTCTAAGCATGGTAAATTGTTAATCAAAATCTAAAATTCCACCCGAAATGTGCAAAATATGATGAGTTTTTACTTGTGATTCATCATTGCATTCACATTTTTTATTAATAAAATTAAGAACGACTCACCCCATTTTCCCGAAAATGTGAAAATACAGAATTATAATAATGATATTCAGAACATTTTGTCGATTGTAGCTTACTACTTAATAGTTTGATCCTCTGTTTTGAGGGGACGAACTCATTCAAATTAAACTAATTTCTACGTGACATTCTTCCGATGTAGAAACATAAACACTTTCAAGTTGTTTTTCTTATCGAGGATAACTTAAGGACGTACAGTAATGGAGTCCATCGGACAATTTGCTACTTTCATATTTTCTCGATATTTCATAACCCCTAGACAAGGCCGTAGCTAGGGGGAGACTAGGGGATGCTGAGCCTCCTCTAGATCTAAACAAGTTATAATTAACTAAATCTGAATTACAACATCGAAAATCAAAATAAAATGTAGTGTTTTGTTCAATAAGCGGAAGTCAAAGCAATAAAAAAGTCTGGATCGTCGGTATTGTGATCCGGTTATTGCAATTCGTTGAAAATATCTTTTAGTTTAGTTTCTGTTTCGCTCTCACGTCTACAGGTTGATAAGTGTCTTCGCTATTTGTCTTACGAGTACCATAAATGATTTTCAGTTCTGTTTTCAGGAGCACCGCTGTTATTACATCCGACAGACGTGACTAAATTGTTTTATTATTTCACTGAATTACATACATTTTTTTTATTTTAGATTATAATAATGGTTGCCATACAAAACAATAAAATTCGCAAAATCAAATCTTTTAATTTTTCGAAAGAGCTGGATTTGATAAGCTGTACTTTATAGGCGAGGGAAGTTCTGTCGAAGTAATCTTCGACCAATTTTTTATATATATTATATTTTTCTTCAACAGGTAGATAATAGTAAAGATCTAGAATTAGTGAGTGTGCATAGATTTTAAAGGTAATTTAAATAAAAGTGTCGTCTCTCAAGATATAAACGTTGTTTCGATTATTTCTCACAATCGGGTATATTTTAAATTAATCAGTTGACAAATGACTATAATATTTTCAGAAATTCGAAAAAATTGTTTTTAAACCGAAATAAATAACAGAGTCAATAATTTTTTAAGAAATTAGTAAGAAAAAAAAAAAAGGGGGCGTCGACCGAGGGATGCACGGATGGAATTTTAAGTTAAGCGTTGTCAATAATAAAAATCAAAAATATGTTGCATTTGTATTTTTTGACAATGTTGATGATTGGGTTAATTAAAGTCCCATGTATTGTCAATTGTTGTTTATTATAAAATATACTTTTTTTATTTATTTATCATATAGAAATATCATAATTAATTATTATAAAACTCGACATCCTATTCCGGCGCGCGTCGTACACGTGTTCTATAATACGAAAAGAGAGGAGTTAAAACTCCAATAATATCGTATAAAAAGAATAGAATAACGTTGCTTCGTTGCACTCTGCTGTTAATTCCCGTTCTCATTTACTTAGCCGTTTTACTAATTACGTTTTCCTTAATTGTATTTATGGAACAAGTGACGATTAAATTCAGCAATTATCACCCGGCGATCCAGCGCGTAATGAATATATTTGTGGCGGTACAATAACAGCTGGGTAAGCTAAGTAGAAATCAAACGTTTTGTGCCCTAGTGGTGTTCTATAATACGAAAAGAAAGGAATCAAAACTCCAAAAAGGATTACAAAATTGTTCTTGGACATTCGGTATAGTTAACTATATTTAGGCCTACATAAGCTTAGCAGTTTGTTTTCATAAAAGTAAAGTAAGGAATAAATCTTAATAAGTGAAATACCTTATATGTAAGTACACATACTTTTGTTAGTAATATGCACCAATAATGCTCACCGTAAGTAACTTTACCAAACCCCGTTGCAAGAGCTTTATTTCCAGGTCTAATATCATTTACACTTAAACAGGCTGGTCTTACAGACGGCGTAAATATTATCGGTTGGTCCATCTGTATTAATGCAATGTCGTTTGCTTTTAACGGGCTTTTATGTTCTGGATGTGGAATTCTTTTAGTCACCAAGCGTTCTTGTAAATTGGAACTAGTATCTTGTAGACGGAGGATACCAAATCTTATTTTCTGTGAAGGACCGCTGAAAAACGTTCAAGTGCTTTAATTAAGAATTCACAAATACTGTTTAATATTTTGTAAGTAATTTTATTTAAAAAAATAAGATATAGTTTAAAATTCATGATATATATAGAGGAGATTTTCATCAAGTGCTTGGGTCTGTATAGTAATCCAGTAGTTTTTACATTCTTTTTTGTTTTTCAACATTATGTTGTTTCTAATGATGGAAGTTTTTGATGTAACTACACAACAATAACAGCATGCTTTTACAGTACGCTAAACTAGAAATTATTTTATCACTCTGTAAATTCATGCCATTACGACTGTTAATGTATTTTCTCTTACAACTGCACGTGAGAGATAAATATCGACAAATGTCGAAATCAGCATCACGTTTTCTTGGTTGATGAACAAAACTGAAATTATCTACTACTCCTATTATTTTGGAAAAAGGGATTTCCATGTTTCAGCTTCTAAAAATTTTATATTTTTGGTTATTAACCAGATTTATTTAAAGTGAAAACAATCTTAAATCGGTATTCTTAATGTACAAGTGTCCCAAAATTTGGGTGATAATTCGCAAAAAGAATTGTCCAACCTGGAAGGTGATTAAGTTAACCAATAGAGAAGCTGCCTTCATATTTAACCAGTTTTATGTTTATGATTCCCTATATCAAAAACATACGATTTTGGTAATAATGAAAGAGAAACAGAACTGTGGTATAAATTTAATAATTTTGATAATCGTCCGACATAAACTGTCAAAAATTACGAGAAGACGACTTCTTTTCTCAGGTTGCAATTCTGAAATTTTGTTCGCGGGCAGCTAGAAAAAGATAATGTAAATAATAGTAATTAACGTCATATGTCCGGTAACTCAAATTTTACAGGACGACGCGACCGTAGGGGGCCGAGTCTTGAATTTCGAAACGAGTATATAATCAAGATTATATCAACCTTTTCATCGTTCATGTATTTAACCCTCATCTTATCGCGACGACTAAAAACTTATCGGAGCTCAAAATTGAAAAATAGAATTATTGCGAAAGTCAAAATTAACTACTAGGTAACTATGTTTGTACAAGTTAGAAAAATAAAATATAAAAAAGTTAGATATGAGATATGTATTTTGTGTTGCATTGAAATTTGGTCAGGGTCCCGTTATAATAATACTCACCCTGTATATTACTGCTGTATAAATACCAATTCAATTTTTAGATTCATGAGTTAATCACACAATAACAGTTAATTCGAATTAAATATTACTTGCAGTTATACAGTAAATTGGAATATACGAAAACCATCAAATAACGTTTCCGGCAGCATTTCTTGATGGTCTAGTGTGGTTATACGTGTGCGTAAAAAATATTTAACTTACAGCTGACGACTTTCTAGACAATGAGCTGCTGTTAAAACATACAATTCGCTTATTAAGGAACCTCCACAGTCCCATTTTAATTCAGCATCCGGCGATAATCCAAATCCTATTACAGCCTGAAATATTATCGTATGCACGTGTATATAATACCTACTTTTTTTCACTCATTACCATGTGTGGAAACTCCTTTTCAGATGCCAACTCCCCACCAACTATTAATGGAACTGAGACAATACCACATTCAGAAACATTATTTACTTTTGAAATTGTTGTTAATGTTGGACTTTCCTTTTGAACATACACGGCTTTTCCATATTCCTGACATTCTGGAAAAAGTAGCAATAAATGTCACACAATTAATTTCAACTTACTTAATGAGGCTTTTTGGCACTGGTAATAATTAAAATAAATAAATGTTAAATAAACTGTTACAAGTCTCATGTTTCACAATGTGCCGTGTAAAAAATCAAACTGATTAAGTTGTTAACAGATTGAGTTTTTGACAATGCAATTGTAAATCGTAATGCAAACTTAATTAACTAAAGCAATTTTCCAGTTATCAATGTTTATTTTAATCCACCTGTTTTTAAAGGTTTTGTGACGTATATAATCTGTTTCATTCCAACCGTTTAATTCAGCCATCTAAATTTTGATTGTTTTGGTTAACAAATCATCAATTTATATATTTTTTATTATTATTTTATTATTTAAGATAACAATGGAATTACGTTTATTTCCAGTAAAAAAAACAGTATATTATTAAACAAGAGAAAAATCGATGCCCAGTTAAAAAAATCCATTACTAATTAGTGTAATAAATAATTCCTATAACAACAAATAAAAAATAACATTGGAATTAACTGTACGTATTTGCATTTTTCAAGCTTAAAAAAAAGTAAGTACTTAAAAAATATGTTATCTTAATAAAAAATGAACACCTTGGACCTGGTAATAGAAGAAAAACCTGTTTTATCTACTTTACTTTAACTTAAAATATCCGAGAAACGCATTTTGATAAGAAGTTCGTATAATTACCACAGCAACTTTGTCAACGGCTAACGAATATTCTTTATTTTCTTTACCTAAATTGATGTCTACTTTTTTAAATTTTGCTATCATGTGTAGAATAAAATACACCCTCAAAGGAGGGTTACTTCATATCACTTAAAATTATTATCTATGTGTCATAGTTTTGATATTTCAAGGTGTCATTATAGGGACCATCAATATCACTTGATTACTCATCTCTATGTTTTAAATTTTAAAGCCGTAGCTGTAGCGGTTCTAAAGTTATCAGAGGGGCGTAACTGATTTTAAACCAGTGCTGTATGTATGTACATGACCGTCTATCTGTAAATTAAAAACTGTTGTTAATATTATTATTCTTTTTACTGATAAACATACATTTTGAATAAATAAAATTACTATATCAGTTACCTAAGTATCAAATGAAGACTTTTTAAACAACCCTGTGTATTCACATACACTCTCTACGAGTTCTAAAATTAAGTAATTTAAACAGAACTCCTCCATGTTTTCTTATCAAGATGTCCAAAGTATTTAAAGAGTTTTATCTCACCTGACTCTTGCAATATTTATATAAAAATTTCCATAGCCAATCAATCTCACTAAAGGGAAGATACTTTCAGTTGCTCTTATATGGAAGTATTTGTTTCCACAAACTCACTAAACCAAATAAATAAGTGGCAACATGAAACAGAAGATCAATAATAGTAATCTCGGAAACTTACATATTGTTTGGAATTTTATATTTGAATTTAATTTTATACAATAAATATGAGTACAGTCGGCTTTACTAACATCTGGGACATAACAAACATAACTTAATTGCTGTTGACATACTTAATAGGTAATTATTTATTTAATTCTTCACAAAATTCAGCATTTAAAAGAATAACAAACGTCCATGTAAGTACGTTATTAGTTTATATAAATATCGGAGATTTAATATATGACTGGCATAAAAGAGCATGTGTAAACCATTGATAACATTATTAACCTATTTTTACAGAAAAGAAGAGAAAATCTTTTGCACGTATTCGGTAAATTTATTGGTGTTTTCTTCCTAACCAGATCGGATTAAGTTAAATGGAAAATTGATGTATTTTGTGCAATCATAACTAATGTCCTAAAATTTAAATTAAATTTGATTTATTTCACATAAAAAATCAAAATGAACCGCAGCAACGTTACTTTACAAATCTTTGGATATAATTTGTGTCAGCACGAACAAAATATGTGGGTCTAAATCATCTATATTGACAGAGGGTTTGGGTATAAAGTTTATGTGTTGAAACTACCAACCAAAACAAGGGAGAGACAAAACACCACTGACATGAATACATAAAAAATTTAGTTGAATAGTATGTATGTACGTAGCACAGCTTTGTGGATATAAATTAATTTTCTAATTGCAGCCCTATAAATGTATATTTACAAATACTAAACTCTAGCAGCAAATTATCAATATCTAAAGTAGAAAAAATATATGTCTTATTGTAAGCAGGAGTGAGGGTAAATTTGAAACTTGCTTAATGGATAACAGTTGTTTTGAGAGGCCGCAACAATTACATATGAGTGAAGAGTTTAAAAGAAGTTCTAGCACTTACGGTTTTGGTGTCAATGAGGGTTAATAGTGAATCGTGTGGTGGTCTGAGTTAAATCTAAGCGTGAGAATTTAAAATGATCTGTAGAGATAATACTGTGGTTATTCAGATCTGTCTTTATATCCTAAAATATGCTAATACCATATGTGGCAATTTTGAGTGTCTGATGGGTATTGCAAGTTTAGATATAATGATTTCCATTAAAAACTTATATTTCTGTCTTTACAATACCCTCAGTATTATTTTCCCACTCCTGATTAAATAAAAATAATTCAATACTTCTTTTTCGATATCGAAGATGACAAAAGGTAAAAATGAATGGGGTCAACACAATTCTTATTTATCACTTTCGAATTAACGCTAATTTTGTTTTGAAATCAAATTTAAGGAGTATCTATAGTCTACTTAAAATTCGCAACACTGGCATAAAAAAGTACAAAATGTTTAATTAATATTATGTAACGAGTAATGCAACAAATTAGTCATAATGATTAGTAGATATTTATGGGATAATTAGTTTTTAATTTTAATTAACTTTGATAATTAACAAAGGGAAATTAATTCAAAAGATGGCAAGCAAATAGGATGAGAAAGGAATCACTGCAGGGGAAACTAACGGTTTCTTAAAACTCATTTTAGCCTGTTTTATTATTTTATTTTTAACTCTGGAACGGCTTAAAATCGTTTAAGCATTAATATAAAATAATGAAAAAGTATAAAATATTTCTGGTTTTATAATAGTTGTACTGATAATGCACAATAATACTTTCATTTGACTGCGTGCTAAATATACAGGGTTATTCAACAACGTTGACCTGACCCAAAATTAATGTGAATCCAAGTTTATCTTTAAATAAACTGTAAAAAAATTGTCAATTGAACAGGTTATTAATTTGAAAGAAAATTATTACGAAACAACTGCTTAATGATGAAAATGATCAGTGGGCTTGTGATCATGCAACATTCGATGTAGTAACAATGGGACTGAAAAAACTGAAAGACTCGCTTATACCTCTAGTTACAGCCTTTGTCTTATAAGAAGATTTTCAGCAATCTGTTTTTTTTATTTCGAGGTCTATTTTGTTATAAAGGAATTTCAAATATTTCGAAACTACAACTGTGCCGTCGTTTTAGCATTCTTACATTCTCCATAAATTAAAATTATTCGCATTGAAATTTCTACTCGGATTCAAAATAATTTTAAAATAATTATTGAAACCCAGAGAGTGCAATATGTATTTTGGGTTGTCGCTGTAAACAGTTCAGATGCACCATCTTAGCTAAATGATTGTAAGTAGGTATATAAACGGAATTTTGTTTTAAAATGAACTATTATCTCAGAATTAGCAAAATTCGTGACAGGTAAATGTTGAAGTATAACATGCTTTACTGGAATTTAAGACTACAAAATACAATATGAAGGATATATTTGCGTTAAAGGGTTGTATGTGATGCTATAAGTGACTAGCTTTTATTTGACTGTGATGAATGGATGCGAATAGTTTGTTTGTACTCACAAAAAAGGAAAAGATTATTTACTTTACTGAAGTTAAATTTTTCACTGCTGTTTCAGAATTTGAGTTGGAATAGTTTTAGAAAACATTACTGCATTTACTCTAAAGAATTGAATGAATTATACAGTAGTTTACACTTAACTAGAGCAGTTAACTTAATCGAAGTACGTTGCCGAAGTTCAAAAAATAAATTTTTATAGTAAGTATTATTCCATAAATAAGCGAAACGTCGAAGCAAAAGTATATGGAACGTAAATGTATAAACGTCGCAAACAAAAAAATGAAACACAATAAAAACGAACATTTTACGATATTGTTCTGTAAAATATGTTATTGTAGCAAAATAACATAATGGTATAAATCAAAACTGAGACATTTTCTTTTCTTTGCGGTTGCTTATGCGAACTCGGAAGTCCGAAAGTATTTTGTCTGGTCGAGCGGTCGCTCCACTTCACAATGCTTCTCATGTGAAATGAACGTTGCTCCAGTGCCTTGGAATTATTTCTGTTTGGTCCGACAAGCAAACCCGACTAGTCCGGAACGAAACGACGAGCTCCGGGAATTAATTGCGACTTTCCGTCCTTTTGCTCAGGTTATTCACTACATCAACGCACACTCCCGAATAATATGATAATTAACACTAACACCAAATTCGATAACATAAATGGGCGCCACGTGCACACTGCTTATTCATAAAACGACAATAACGAACATGGCACAGTCAAAATCACGTTCGAATTGTGTGGGAAGAAAATGGTCCATTATTCGAGTTTACGTACTAAATTGGTGAAGTTAAATTTAGTGAAATTCAGAATTTTATTTGTATAGGGCTTATAAAAATACACCTTGCTTCACACCTTGTTCATTTTTGAAAGACTAACTAAGGAATGAAGCTCGGCAATGATATTCTAAGTCGACATGCTACAATTTGAATTATGAATCTATAGCTGGCAGTACAATATACAGCCTGATTTCGAAATATGTGGCATAAACAAAATGGGGAACAACTCACAATAAGATTGTTTCACTGTGTAAAATTCACGTTCCAAAGTGGTAGCAATGTTTAGAAAACATTATTTGAAATTAAATATAAATTGTTATACACGCCGCTGGTAGTGTTTCTTGACTTCATTCTTTCAATGAATGGCACAGAACGACTCGGATTAAGAACCAAAGAGTGACTGATAAGAAACGTGCAAAAACACGAAAAGGCCAGTCATTTATACGTTGCTTGCATCGAACGGTCGGGAGTTGGTTTATAGTAAATTTTTCCAATTCAGAGTGTGTCGATATGGTAATG